CCCATGGTTGACTACATGGGAGTCCAGCGACATAGCCATTATGCTAACTGCTGGTCCCATTTGTCCATTTTCTTAAAAAAAATTTTTTTGGAGAGGTTTTTCTATACGATGCATGTACTCACCAGAGAGACAGAGAGAGACAGAGGGACAGAAAGCAAGATATCACCCCTCAGGGGGGATGGCCATGCCGCAATCCCTTCTCATCCATTCTTCTCTCGGGATCTTGGGCATGCGCACACACGCGCCCGGCGTGAGTTTAAGCCACCAGGTCTGGGACTCAAACTGTGGAGTGAGTTTAAGCCACCGGGTCTGGGACTCAAACCACAGTCGACTACATGGGAGTTCGGCCACATAGCCATTACACCAACTGCTGGTCCCCATTTGTCCATTTTTAAATCAAAGTATTTAGGGCTTTTTACAGCTGAGTTGTTTGAGTTCCTTACATATTCTGGTTTAAAAGCCTCAGCAAAATACTCACAAATTAGGGCTGGCAGATGGCGTAATGGTTAGGTTGCTGGACTCCCACATGGCCAATCGTGGTTTGAGTCTCAGATCTGGTGGCTTAAAAATTACGCAAGGTGTGTGTGCACGTGTGTCCAAGATCCCAAGAGGAGAAAAGGGATTGAGGCATGGCCATCCTCCTGAGGAGGGTGATTTCTTTCCCTCACTGTCTCTGTCCCAATTTAAAAAAAAAAACGGGTCAAAGACTTTAACAGACATGCCATCCAAAAAGATACATAACAGATGACTGAGCCAGTTGGTGGTGTGGTGGTTAAAGCAGCTGGATCCCAGATGGCCCACTGCACAAAGTCCTGGACCCAGCAGTTTGAAAAACACATGATGCATGTGTGCATGCCTGCCTAAAATCCAAGAGGAGAATGCAGAAGGGACTGTGGTGTGGCCATCCCACCTGGGGGGTGATTTCTTGCTTTCTATCTGTCTTTCTGGTGAGCACACACACTCTATAGCAAAAACCTCTCAAAAAAAACAAAAACAAAAACAAAAAAAAACCTCACCAATTAACTTCAGTAGTACATCAAAAAGATTATACACCATGATGAAGTGCATTTTATCCTAGGGATACAAAGATGATTCAATCATGCAAATCCATAAATGTGAGATACCACATCAACAAAATAAAGGACAAAAACCATATAATCTCTCAGTAGATGTAGAGAAAGCATTCAACAAAATTCATTGTAATTAAATTACCCCACTGATCTTACTTTGCAAACTCCTCTTCAGGTACTCATTTAATGGCAGGGGAGGAGGGGAAGTTTTTCCCTGAAGAGGATAATTCAATTTTTCTCTGAATTGTGAATCTCTCTACTTCAAAGACTAATAGTTATTTTTAATATATTGTAGTTATATAAGAAAATATCTTGGGACCAGCAGTTAGCATAATGGCTATGTCGCTGGACTTCCATGTAGTCGACTGCGGTTCGCGTCCTGGACCCGGTGGCTTAAAACTCACACCGGGCGCATGTGCATGCGGGCCCAAGATCCCGAGAGGAGAATGGAGGAGAAGGGATTGTGGCGTGACCATCCCCCCTGGGGTGATTTCTCGCTTTCTATCTCTCTGTCTCTCTCTGTCTGTCTGGCAAGTGCACGCGCCCTACAACAAAAACCTCTCCAAAAAAAAAAAAGAATATCTTTGTGTTTAAGAAATTCATACTGAAGTGTATTTAGGGGTAAAAGGTATCATGTGTACAACTTACTTTCTAATACTTAAGGAAAAAAGTACATTCAGACATACACACTCATATATTAAGAAACGATGATAGAGCAAATGTTGCAAAATGCTAACACTGGTTGAATCTGTGAGAAGCAGATTCAGGAGTCCTTTGTACTATATTTTATCAACTTTAAGTTTGATACTATGTCAGAATAAAAGTTGACAACATCTTCATTACTGTTAATGAAGCTCTCTACCTTACAAGTTACATAGGAAGTTAGAGGATAAAACATTTATGAACCATTAACACATAGTGAAATGCTCGGGAATATTAATTCATTCTCCCCAAAGTAAAGTTACTCTACTTCTTTCTAGAGAGGCAGAGTGAGACAAAAACAAAAAACAATATAAATAAACTGTCCCTCCAACCTGATTTTCAAAAAGGGGTAAAGAAAGCAATTTAGTTAAATCATACCGGTTAAAAAGTTGGGGAGTTAGACTATGTGTCTCAATGGCTAAAACAGACTATATATAGAGATTGTAAAAATCAGTTTTATAAATTTCACCCTTAGCATCATTTTTTTAGTCTTCAGAATGCCATTTCCAGTTTTAGTTTAAATTTTTGTATTGTCAGGCTTTAGTTAGTCTTAATTTCCTGATATAGTCAAAATAGGTACTGAAATTTCCCCTCACTGTTATAATCAGTACTGCATAAATCATTAATTTTAAAACATGACAAAATAAATAAAAATAATGATATTTGTTTAAGGACAGTCCAATCTTGGTTTAAAATAACCATAACCAATGTAATGGAAAATGAAAAGTGGTATTTATTTCTGAGAATAATTGACATTGCAACCCCATAATACTTACCAACATGTGATGGCCAAACGGTTATATGAGGATGAGAATGATACCAGCCCACAACTCTCATAGGGCGACCTGTTAGTTCAGCCAATCTGTGTGTTTGTCAAGGTGTTTTTGAGAATGGAGAACAAAATTCCCAATGCAGAAAAGGCCCAGAAAGCATTCTGCAGTTTTAAATGAACCTATTACAACTTAATGGCAACAAGAGAATAAAATAAGTTTGATGCTCAGGATTTCCACACTGCCCATTTAAAGCTACGGAGTTTTTAAAATGGAATCTATATGGTTTCCATTATCATATGAGTAGATTTTTTTAGAGTTCATGGAAATATGTATTATGAAAAACCTATGCATGAATTTCAACATTTTTGAATCTAAATAAACATATTTTTAATTACCTCTTCCATGAACCTTTTTTTTTTTTTCAGGTTTTTGTCATAGGGCACGTGCATTTGTGGGAAAGACAGAGAAGGAAAATGAGAAATCATCTCCCAGATGGATGGCCATGACACAATCCTTTCTCCTCTATTCTCTTCTCAGAATTTTGGGCACACATGCCCTATATGATTTTCAAACCACCAGGTCCAGGACTTAAACTGTGTTTGGCCATGTGGAAACCCAACACCTTATTAACCACCATACCACCTGATGGCCCCTCTACAAGTTTTGAGGTCCCCTCATATAGTTATATCTTCTTAATCCAATTTAATGTTTGATCACTCAACTCCTTACTACTGTACTATCTGAAAAGAAGCTTACATAAATCTTCAGAAGTCACTTAGATTATCAACTTGAGTCTTCTATCCTCTCTCTAGCTCTAGTGTACTCACACATTTGAAAAAGAAATGCAAGAAGGCCAGAAGGTGGCATAGCATTTGAGTCACTAGACTTCCACATTGCTGACTTGCAATTTGAGTCCTAGACCCGGCGGCTTTAGAATCACACTGGGCGCCTATGCATGTGTACCCCAAATCCTCCTCTTGGAGGTGATTTCTCACTTTCTCTATCGCTCTCTGTGTCTCCAGCAAGTGCATGTTGCCCTATGACAAAAATCTTTCTTAAAAAAAAAAAAAAAAAAAAAAAACGACGTGGGATCAGCAGGTGACATAGAGGTTAAGGCACTGGATCACACGTGGCCAGCTGTACAGTTCAAGACCTGAACCCTGTAGCTTGAAAATCATGCTGGGTACATGTGCATGCACAAGCCCCAAATCCCAAGAGACTAGAGGAGAAGGGATTGCATTGTGGCCATTCCCCACAAGTGGGTGATTTCTCACTTCCCCTCTCTCTCAATCTGCCTATGTCTCTGTGGCAAGCTCATGCACCCCATAATAAAAACTGGGGGGGGGGAGGGGAATGCAAAGAAACGCAAAAGGCTTTAAAATTTGATTTCTCTCTGGCAGGCTGTCAACATCAATAATGGCAATTAGGGTAGTTTCAAAGACCAAATGAACAAAGATTCCTAGTTTAGTCTCAGTTGTTGAGAAACGTCACTCCAAACAGTATTTTTCTTGTTATAGAAATTAAAATTTCCATGACCAGCAGATGGTGTAGAGGTTACATCACTGGACTCCCACGTAGTCAACCACTGTTCAAGTCCCAGACCCAGTGGCTGAAAACTCACACCAGGTGCATGTGTGTGTGTGTGTGTGTGTGTGTGTGTGTGTGTCCAAAATACCAAGAGGAGAATGGAGAAGGGATTGTGGTATGGCCATCCCCCCAGATGGTGATTTCTCTCTTTCTGTCTCTCTGTCTCTCTGTATCTTTCCAGTGAGTGCACATGCTCTATAGCAAAAATCTCTCTCTCAAAAAATAAATAAATAAATAAATAAAATATATATTGCCATAGGCTGTGTGTGCTTGCTGGAAAGAGACTGTGAGAAGGAAAGTATGAAATCACTCCTTGGGAGAATGGCCACACCATGGTCCCTTCTCCTCCACTCTGGGGTTTGAAGCACACACGCACATGTGCCCAGCATGATTTTAAAGCCACCAGGACTGAGACTCAAATTGTGGTCAGCCAAGTGAGAATCCAGCACCTTAGCCTCCATGCCAACTGTTGGCCCCTGTATATGTTTAATTTTCAAATGCCGGGGCTGGCAGATGGTATAGTGGTTAACGGCACTAGACCCACATGGCCAACTACAGTTCAAGTCCTGGAACTAGTGGCTTTCTCTCTCTCTCTCTCTCTCTCTCTCTGTCCCTCTCTAGTCAAATTAAAATAAATAAAGTAAAATTAAAAAAATAGTTCTTTTAAAAAAGTTTTTCAAATGCCAAGAAGGGGAATTAAAGTACAAATTTCCTTATTTTCAGTTTTTGTCATAGGGCATATGCTCACCAGAGACAAAGTGAGAAACCATCCCCCTGGGAGATGACCACCCTGCAATCCCTTCTCCATTCTTCTCTCAGGATTTTGGGTATGCACACACACACATGCCCACTGGGTCCAGGACTCCAACTGTGGTTGGCCACATGGAAATCCAGCTCCTTAATCACCACACCATCTGCTGGCCCTAAAATAAAAGTTTATTTTGGTAGAAAAAATTTTTTGAAATTAAAGTCGTTTTTTCATAATACACATTTTCCATGAACTTTTTAAAGACCTTTTGTGCAAAATAATCAGGATAATAAATATCTTTTATACAATGATGGTTTGAGAATTTTATTTTGGCCAAGTTTGTTTTGTTTATTTTACTTCATTTTATTTTTTTTTTAGATTTTTAAATTTTTTAATTCTATTTATCATTATTTTTTTTTAATTTGCTACAGGGAAGATGCACTACCCAGAGATAGACAGAGAGGGAGGAAGAGAAAAGGTGAGAAAGCAAGCCACCAGGTCCAGGACTCAAACTGGGGTGGGCTATGTGGCAGTGTGGCGCCTTAACCACTATTCATTTACTACCATTAGTGAGCCCGCAGATCCTGTTGGCCCCTTTTTTTTTTTTTTTTTTTTGGAGAGGTTTTAACTATAGGGCGCATGCACTCGCCAGACAGACAGAGAGAGACAGAGAGACAGAAAGCGAGAAATCACCCCCCAGCGGGGATGGTCACGCCGCAATTCCTTCTCCTCCACTCTCCTCTCGGGATCTTGGGCACGCATGCACACGCGCCCGGCGTGAGTTTAAGCCACTGGGTCCGGGACTCAAACCACGGTCGACTACGTGGGAATCCAGCAACATAGCCATTACGCTAACTGCTGGTCCCCGCCCCTGTTTGTTTTGAAAATACCAATGAATGGGCTTTCTGCTTCTGGCCAAAATGAAGTAACAAGAACTGAAACAAAATTGGACAACATAAAAGAAGCAACCATTTTCAAGATACTGGGCTTTGAGAGATGAAACTCTGATTCAGAGTCCTGGTGGCCCAGGTTTGCAGGGCAGAGGGCCAGACAGAAGACAGCTGTGGAGGGAGAGAACCCGGACAGGTGCAGCGGGGCTGCCTGAGCATTCAGTGGGCCACTGATGAGCACTGTACACCAGGACATCACCTGAGGAGGCCCAGGCCTGCCCTGAGAGGATGAAATGTAAGGGAGTGCCCGGCGTGGAGCAGCACAGGCCCAATGGCTGTCCCTACCCTTCAGGTTGGAGATCTCCTCATTGGGAGGCACCTGGCAGGGTGCTCAGAAGGCCTTGCCTCCATAGGGTGGGAACATTATTCTGACACTAAGAGCTGCTTGGGCTCCATGCCACAGCACGCCTTCCAGGCAAGACTCCAAGGAATCCAACTCAGCTGATAGCATCCCAGAACACAGCTCCAGGGTCCCACAAAGGATGCAGATATCCAGCACTCAAGGAAGGATGCACACATCTGACACCCAGTTGACATCTCCCAGGGACGGCCAGCTCCATTGCACAGCAGTTAAGTGCTGGATGCTTGGGTCATAAACAACCAATCATGTTTCAAGTGGTGTCCCTGTCTGCAGCTTGATAATATGCTCGGTATGTGTGTGTAGTACCCCAAATTCTGACAAGATGGAGGTCATGGGAGGGAGATTTCAATGTGACCACGCCTCATTGGGTAGTGCCCTATGTCTCTCTCTGGAAATAGTAGGCACCTTCTGACAATAAAGAAAAAAAGAAAAAACTACCAGAGTTACAAAGCAGAAAAATTCAACACTTAACAGAAAGCTGGGGAACAAAAGTTAGAATTGGGAGTCTGGGATGGGTAGAATGAAAAAAGCCAAACTCTGAAGTTCACATACCCTGTGTTTCCACTTACATAACATTCTTGAATTGACAAAATCATAGAAACCAGGAACAAGTTAGTGGTTCCCAAGGGTTAGGGATGGTGGGGAGGAAGAGGTGGGTCTGAGTATAAAAAGAGGTAGCAGGAGGGAGAACTTTGTAGTAGTTACACATATCTGCACATGTTACAAAGCAGCAGGGGACACACATTGTATCCAAATCAATATCTTGGTTTCTGTACTATAACCTTCAGTGGAAACTGGGTGAAAGGTACAGAGACCTTCTGTACTTCAATGAATTTATGATGATTTCAAATCAGAATCTAGAAAAACAAGATGCAAAAGGTACATATGTGATCGATAAATCTGATTACATAAAATGTTAAAGTAACAACTTGGTTGGGAAAAAACACAAAACACCAAGAAACTGGGCAAAATCACTACCTTTATCACAAAAGGCTAATTTTTTTAACATACAGAGTGCCTATAAGTGAGATCCCACATAGCCAACTGTGGTCCAAATCACAGTACCAGTAGTTTGAAAAACACGCCAGGCATGTGTATATACATTCCCCAAATCCCAAAAGTATGGATGAATAGAGAGCAGATTAAGGTGACCAAGCCTCATTGAGGGAGCTCGCTCTCTCTCGCTCTCTCTCTCTCTCTCTCTCTCTTTCTCTCTCTCTCAAGCACACATGCTGACAATTCACAAAAAGAAAGAAAATTACTGTCAAATCAATGGACAATAGGCAAAAGAAGTAAACACTGTAACTGGGAGAAAAATACAATTACTACAAATGAAAAGGTAATCAAGTTTACTTATAACAAGAAAAATAAAAATTAAATTAAAATTGCAATAAATAACATAATGTTTTGCTCATCAGATTGGCAACAATCAAAACCTTTGACCACATCACAAGGTGCAGGGAAGCAGGCACTTTTGTACATTGATAGGGGTTAAAATGGTAAAACATCTATAGCTACGAGTACATATAGTCTTCACCTCAGCAGTGCCATCTCTAGGAACTGAGTCTATGGGTAAACACAAGTGTTTGTAAAATAAATGACTGCATGTTCACCCACTGCCATATTCTGTCATCATCAGAATGAGGCAGCTCTATATACTGATGTTGATAACTTTCTCTTGTTTTAAATTTAACTTTATTTATTTTTTAATGTGACCAGAGAGGGACAGAGTGAGAGAGAAAGGGAAAGTGAGAAAGCAAGCTGCCAGGTCCAGAGTTGAACCACAGTCAACCATGTGGGAGTCCAGCATCTTTAACCACCACTCCACCAGCCAGCCCCTTGATGTGAACACTTCTCAAGATACACTATTAGGTTAAAACATGAAAAACATTATGTCACAGTTTTCATATGTATTAAATACTTTTTAGGAAAAAAATTCATGTGTACAGAATTCATTTCTAAGGATATATGAAAAACATAACTTTGGTTATACCCAGGGACCCTGGGAGAACAAGGTCACACAGGTTGTACTTCATAAAGCTTTTATGCCTGTGTACTACTTATTTTTAAAGCACTTTTTCATTGACTACGAGGTTAATGTCATCCAAAACAACAGTTACTACTCATGCAAATTTAACTCACTAAAGCTGAGGCAATGAGTCCAGGTCATAGGAAGGAAATGCCCCATTTGAGCACCCTTGAAGATATTTATGTAACATGTAATGTTGCAGTCAATTTCTAGTACTGCATTATTTGAGAGGAAATCTCAAAAAAAGCATCTCTCCAAAAGATACAGTTGAACACAATAAAAAGCCTAGAAAATGAAATGTTATTAGGAAAACTATAAGGAGGGGCAGAGAAAAATAGAAGAGTGGAATGTGGTGGAAGATACCACAGTAGGTGATGCCGGGGTCTTTTGCCATTTAGGAACAAGAATATCAGAAATCTCTAATTCCAACAAAAGACACTTGAAAGGAGAATCAGAGAGAAAATCTGATTAACTGACCCATTGGTTCTAAGGAGTAAATATAAAAACTGAGGAAGAGGGACCAGCAGTTAGCGTAATGGCTATGTCGATGGACTCCCACATAGCCGACCACAGTTCGAGTCCCAGACCCAGTGGCTTAAACTCATGCCGGGCGCGAGTGTGTGAGTGCCCAAGATCCCAAAAGGAGAATGGAGGAGAAGAGAAGGGATTGCGGCGTGACCATCCCCTCGGGAGGTGATTTCTCACTTTCTATCTCTCTGTCTTTCTGGCGAGCGCATGCGCCCTATAGGAAAAACCTCTCAGAAAAAAAAAAAAAAAAAACAGGCGGGGAAGAGTCATTAGGATGAAAATGTGTGAAACCTCCTGAGCAGGAAGACTGCAGCAAGCAGCCCCAGAGCATGCATGAGTTCTTACTGACCAACAAGGATATCTCTGCCTCTGTTGAGGCTGCAGACAGCTGCTCTGGAGAAATTTCTACTCGGTCTTTCCTCTTATCAGAACGTCGCAAAATGATGACTGAATGAATATGAACAATCTTGACGGTGTCAACCTAAAGGAAAATCCACAGAAATGGTTACTTCTGTGTTGCAGCAGTAATACATCTCCCTGCAAGTATACAACTGCAGCTTATTATAACATCAGGTTAATAATTCCATTTTAAAAAACTGACACTTTGCTCATAAATAATGAAATATGTGAAATAAAACACACCCAATCTCAATATATACATTTTAGAAATAAAACTATAAAAGTTAATATTTAGGTGAAGTAAGGACTTTTTGAACAACTAATAATTATTTTATTACAGCTATGTGCAAGAAACTGTCATACAAAGGAAGATAAATGAGAGAGTTGACAGTCAATGGATTTAAATACAGCATTTGAGGTGACAGTGAAACCAAGAAAGAAGGTTAGTGAGAATGTACCAGGCCTTGAAAGCCAAACCATAATCTGCAGTATGAACTGGAAAGGAAGAAATTATTTCAGATAGCCAGACAGGAAGTAATAATAAAGTACTGAACTAAGTAGATAGAACAAAGAGCTTTGGGACCAATTAAAAAGTAATGATCTATAAGATTTGGTAGGTTATAGACCATGAGTGATGGAGGACAAGAAACCGTAAAAGATGACTTTCAAGTTTCAAGGTTGAAACTAAGTGGAACATGGGAGGCAGGTCCAAGTTTAGAAAGGGTCAGGAAAAGAAGGGAAATGGGCTTGTTTTCAGATGAGCTGATCTGAAATGAGAGGATATATAGTATGGCAATTTCTGGCAGGCACTCCGGATTATAGTTTAGGCTCAAACAGATCAGTGGGGGAATCAATTATAGTTTTGAGTGGAAAAAAAGGTATGAAGAAAGGGAACAGAGGACTAGGTCTGAACAAGGAGAGTACATGCATTTAAGACAGGATAGAATAAAAAGGGCCAGGGAGGGAGATAAAAGGCAAAATCAGAACAATGAACTACACCACACATTGTGCAACACAGTAGCCTACTGAGCTACTGAGCTACCAGTTTGATTTCAGATGTGCCTCAAGCATGAAATACATGCTGGAATTAAAAGAGAATCCAAAAAGAATGTGAAATTTCTCAACATTTCTCTTTTTTCCCAACATTTCTTAATATTGACTATATATTGAAATAATTTTTGGAATATCTGGGTTAAATAAAATATGCCCTGAAAACTGATTTTACTAATTTCTCTTTACCTTTTTATTGCAGTTACTAGAAAGTTTTAAGTTACATATGTAGCTCGCATTTTTTTATAATGGACATACAAGCAAAAACTTTAGCTATTTTGTATATTCTGCTTGCAAGTTTGATTTTTTTCAAACAAGAAAGCTCTCTAATCAGTTCAGCTCTTTACTTTTTTAAAAAAGTATTTAATTTTATTTGTTATTATTATTTTATAATTTGACCGGAGAGAGACAGAGAGGAGAAAGGGAATGTGAGAAAGCAAGTCACCAGTTCCAGGACTCAAACTGTGGTCTGCAGTGTGGGAGTCTGGCATCCCAACCACCACGCCACTTGCTGGCCCACTAGCTTTTCACTTTCTAATCTCATAGACTTAAACCAAATAGTAGAAGTGTTTGTCAAGGGATCCAGCAGGTGATGTAGTGGTTAAGGCATTGGACAGACGCACAGGCCAATGGTGGTTGAATTCCAAACCTGGTTTGCTTTTTTACTCCCTTCCCCAACTCTGGTCAAAATAATAATAATAATAAATAAAATTAAATAGTGCCTTTCAAAAAGTGTTTGTCCAAACAAGGTAGCAAAGGAGTATCTCTGCCTAGCATTTCAAAGACTTTATGCTTTAACATTATTGATTTATCTCCTATGCAGTCTCATTTCATGTCTCTTTCACATCCTTTAAATTTTGTGATGATTCTATAAAGAATTAATTATTCTTGGGGCCAGCAGGTGGTGTGGTGGTTGGGGGTGCTGGACTCCCACATGGCCAACCACAGTTCAAGCCCCAGACCTGGCAGTTTGCTTTCTTGCTTTCTCTCTGTATCTGTCTATCTCACTCTGTCCCTCTCTGGTCAAACTAAAATAAATAAATAAATAAAGTAGAATAAAATAATTACTTTTTAAAATTATTTATTTATTTAATCCATTTGTTATTATTATCATTTTTTAAATTTGACCAGAGAGAGAGAGAGAGAGAGAAAGGGAAAACAAGAAAGCAATCTGTGAGGTCCAGGACAAGCCATGGTCAGCCATGTGGGAATCCAGCACCTTTAACCACCTTGCCACCTGCTGGCCCCAGAATAAAATAATTCTTAAAAAAAAAAAAAGAATTAAATTGAAAAAAGTGTGGCACAAATACTCCATGGAATACTATTCAGCCATTAAAAAAAAAATGAGGCCCTGGAATTTGATAGAAAGTGGACAAATATGGAAGATCTGTTGCTGAGTGAAGCAAGTCAGGCTATGAAAGAGAGACACTGTATGTCTCCACTTCACATATAGTGACTGTCCACACTCTGTGGTAGAGACTGAAAGACTAGAAGACAAAAAAGAATTAAAAATTGTTATGGATACTAGGGACAAAGTAGATGGAAAGTGTGGGAGGGGAAATTTGGGGACAAAAAATAGAGAGGTAAGACATTTGTGGGACACAGATACGGTTTATTATTTGTTGATGAGGATATGTATAGTATTCTCAACTGGGCTGGACTGAAGTGTATATCATGCTGGCTAAAGTCTATTAACAATCTAAATGATGTATAGTAATTGAATGTATAAATAATGATAATAAAGAAAAAAAGAATTAATTATTCTCCACTCCATATGACTTCCTTTATCACACACACACACACACACACACTTATTTCTGCTAGAAAATATATCAAATTGTGTTCTATTTATGGACATAATTTTCTCCCCTACTAGAATATAAACTCCTTACAGGCAGGGACCATGTATTATTTATGTTTTCATCCCTGGCAGCTAAAACAGTGTCTGGCAGGTACACACAATACATAAAATTAAAAGCAGAGATAGAAACATTCATGGTCTTCCAAGGAGCAACAAAACAAATAGATGAATTTTCAACAGAAACCATGAAAGCCCAAAGAGAATGGATAACATATTTAAGTGGTGAAATATCTGTCAAATGAGAATTCTATATTCCAAGAATATATACATCAAAAATAAAGGCAAAAGAAAGACATTTTCAAATGCACAGAAATAGAGAGAATTCAGTACCAGCAAAGAAATACTGAGAGAGTTCTTCAGGTATGAGGAAGATGTCAAAAATGAAGGTAAGAATGAAGAACACATGTGGATAAGTACAAAACAGTAATAACAAATGTCATGTGGGGTTTCAAGTATCTGTAGAATTAAGATGCATGACAATAATCCAAAAGCAGTGTTCTAAAGTTCTAGTATTATTGGGGAAATGGTAAAAATAGTCCTTTGTAATTAGATTGTAATAAATGGATGCACATACCTTTTCAGCAACTGTGCGCATTTCCGCTCCAGTGTGTGCAAATTTGAAGTCACTCCTAGGGATGAAATAGAAAGGAAAAAGAAACTGGGGTCTGGAATTTTAAGAGCACTTAAAGCAAAATGATAGGATTAACAGGTTTTCTTTTTTTTTTTTATTTTTAAGGCAGAACAATAGAAATCCCTTTAAATAGACACTTTATTATTTCCACAGGCGATAAAATCCCAGAGCTATGGTTAGGCACGTCAATATGGACCCTGCTAAGTATTTAATGTTATCAAGCTTGTGCAACTTAAGCATGGTTTTGAGGCCAGCCAATGAGACCTTGGCAGAGACATGAAAGGAGGGGAAGTGAAATGAGGGGAGTGAATTCATGGGCAAAACTGAATCCCTAGTATCCTGGGTGTTAAGGAAGTGGGCTTGACAGGTAAAAATGTGTATGCTTTCAAGTTTAGATAAAAATTACCCAAAGGTTGTTACTACCTCAAGCATTCAAGCTATTGGGGATCTCTGGGATCACTGTGGAACCCACGGGAGGACTGGATCACCACAAGGAAAATTACTGGTATCTCACATTTCAAGGGAGAGGACGTAGATAAAACACATCAAGTAAGGAAATGGAAAATAACAGCACCAAATGTAAACTATATTGACAGTTTCTTTTTAAATATGGTGCCCTTGTTTCAGTGAAATTCTAAGGGCGTTCACGGGTTCACTTATGATCTTGGACCTCCAAACAGTATCTTTTCGCATAATGCATATATGTCTCAACTGCAAATTCTTCTATTAGGGGGCAGAAAGCAAGTTTCAAGATTGGTGTGGAAGTGAAACTGTATCAGCGAAGGTGTCCTGGACTCGTGGTGGTAATTAATGGTAAACTCTGTACACAGTACTGATCCACTTGTCATAATTCTGAGTCAACAATGACTTAGAGATGTGAAGATATGAGTAAACATAGTCTTACCTTGTGTCATCATTCAACTAGAGTGGGAAAGAGCAGAAAACATTATTGATCACATTGCATGTATTTGCAGATTATATGAAAATTGGGTCATGTGTTCGTGCATATCGGCACGAAGGACTGGAAAACGCTTAACATTGTACCCAGCTGAACTGCACTTCCTCCTCTTTCGCCCTCTGCAGCACTTAACGGGGCGGACACTTTCAGGTCTTTGGAACCCCTCTGCTACCCTACGTTCCGGCACGCTTAAAACGGTGGCCTAGAGGAGAGACTGGGGGACGAAGCAAAAGGCCGCTGCTTCCCTGATGTCATTATCATCCTACGAAGTCCCCCCGGCCGCACCTGCCGGTTGGGTCAATGGGACGCTGGTGGCGGATTTAAAGAAAAGCCAAAGCCTACGAGACGAAAAAAGAAAAGAAAAGCCAGCTCCGGGGGTGGGTTATGCAGAGCTCTGTGAGCGGCGGAGGGAATGCGGCCCGGCGCCAGAGCCCCCAGCACAGGCCTGCCGAGGTTCTACGTCAGGGGTGTCCGCGGCCTCTGCAGCCCCGAGCGCAGCCCGCACCCAGCCCGGGGACACTCCGGGGCTGCTCAGCAGGGCTCCATTCGGGCTGCTGACCGACTCACCTCCCCTATACACAGCCCCATCACCTCCTCCTTCTCTGTGCTCAGAGCATGGTTGAGACAAACGAGAAAGGCGTCAGACTCCAGATGCACCGCCTGCACCGCCTGCACGACCTGCACCGCCATCTTGGTCCGACCCTGTTCACGTCCTCCCCTGGGCCACTCCGGCCTGACCAACCCGCTGCCTCCGCGCAGCCTCCGCGGCGCCCAGCGCTCAGCTCA